TGCTTTTGGGTATTGTTGCGTTAGTGGTCTTCTCGACGCTTCTCTTCTTTGTGACGATCCTTGGTCGTGTGGTTTCTGGTCAAGGGTTCAGAGTGTAGTGGACGTTTGCTTTCTCGACTTGGCTTCATGATTTTGTTGATGGGAAGAGATCGGTTGTGAATCGATTTCTTTGGTTACGCTTCTCCCTAGTTGGACAGTTCCTAGCGATTGGAAAGGAATTTCACCTTTTCGCTTGTGACGGTTCCCTCACCGGCTTTGGGCATGATTCTGGCCGGCCTCAAGAAAGCGTTGTATTTTTACGAGCGGGTGGGCTTGGCGTTACTACGTTCTCCAATGATGGAGACGATTTATTCATGGTTCTCTCAAAGTGGGTTGGTTTTCTGATTACCAAAGTCGAGCATATTATCTCGCCGTGAAGGGTTGCTATGAAAATCTTCATGATGTCTGACATTCCCAAAACCATTTTGGTCAAGGAACTGAGTCCAAAATTCGAAGAGTAGATTGGTGTTATTGGTCGGCGAATCGGTGAAAGAGAAGATACCAAGTGTTATAGATAACTTTAGAAGGACCTATCATTAATGGTCGTCGAAGAACATCAACAAGGGAATCGAGATTGTGGATCTATCATGGGTGATATTTACAACAAAAACAAACCCATCGCCTGGTGCGGGAGATGAAAATGATTGTATGGTTGGTGATGTTCGCAACCTTTTAATTTTTTTAAAACGTATTGGATTTTCATAAAATAGGCAAACAAAAAAATCAAATTAGACTGAAGACAAAGACGAGCAAGGAAAATAACAGATTGAAATATATGTTAGCTTGTAAAGGTCAGATAAGAAAGGAAACAACGTGTATTTTCACTTTATCGATTATTTTGTTTTACTTAAGTTTTTGGTTGTATGGATTGTAGAGCTTTCACTTGTATGTTCATTGATATATATGTAATCTCTAATTAAAGTTAATGAAGAAGACGTTAAAACAAAAAAAAACAAAAAACATGTAAAAGTTTAGAGATCAAATTGTAAATAAAAAAATTCATTCCAAAAATGAGTAATTTGAATAATATGTTCCCTCAAATTTGAAAAAATAATATTCATACTCATTTTTACCTCCATTTTGATATACCGACTAGGGCCATTGATTACCGATTAGGCAATTAGTCATGTATCTCCCCAATGTGCTCTATACTACTTCTCATCATCTTTCATGAAATTGATGGCAAATGTAGTTAGTGGCGGATCCATAAACTTTTTCTATCGGGGTCAAAAGTTGGATGAAAAAAAACCTGTCCATTAGGCCCATATAAAAATGGACGAAAATTTTAAATAGGATGCAACATGAGGAATCGAACTTGGAGTAGGGGGTCAACATTAGAGTTTTCAACCAAATTAGCTAATGATTTACATTGTTATAAACTTAAAATTATAATTTATATAATTTAGTGGGGGTGAGCTGACCCCCATTCTCTACGTGGCTCCGCCCCTGGTAGTTATCCTTGTATATTTTCTTGATTAATGAACACCAATTATTAACCATGGAATCATAATGTGGAACTAAACAAAAAACGTTTGTAGAAAAATAAGTGCGTCGAGTTTTGTATGTAATTGTCTTGCTCAAGATGAACTTATTCGAGCGTCAGGACGGGATTTTGATGTACTCCGTCCATTCTCTTTTTATGTATAATACGTTTTAGAATATTTGATTTTTTAAAAGCGTTTATGTAAAATTTTATTCTTATATAATATCTCAGGTGCTAATAGTTTAAAATTGTAAATTGGGATTTTACATCTAACACAAAACTAATTATTTATTTTGAATAGCGAACACATAATTTGATATATTATATATCTAACATTCAATAAATTATAATTGAACAAACCATACTAATCGATATTTAAGATTATTTATGAAATCAGTTTTGAACATTAAAAAAAAAT